GACCTTATTTTTTATTTTTAGAGACAAGGTCCCACTCTGTAGCCTACACTGGAGCGCAGTGGTATGAACATAGTTCACTGCAGCCTCAAAATCCTGGGCTCAAAAATAATCCTCTTGCCTTAGCCTCCAAGTAGCGGAGATTACATTACAAGCATTGAGTCACCATGCACAGCTCCTAAATGTCATTTTTGCCATACAAAGAAAAGACGGACTTTATGTTTATTTTAAATTGCACAATGGTCTGTATCTATGTTACTTATAAAAAGACTGGGGTTTTTTTTCTTTGTTTTTCTATCCTTGTAAACGTTCATAAATTTTCTATCACTCTGTCAAGCTATCAGGGCCATAATTTTACCGTTGCTTACCAGAGTACAGATTGATAAAAACACTACTGTGACTGTGCTTTGAATTAGAAAGTGTCATAAATGTAATGTGAATTTAATTTACCACAGTGCTGGTTACTTATAATAAATGGTAACTGTGATTATTACTAAAATAGAAATTTAAGAATGAATGAGAAAGAGATCAGAATTCGCCACTCAGGAGTCTATTTATCTTCACAAGATATTGCACAAGCAGAGGTATCCCCATCTTCTTTTTAACTGCAAATCAATACTTCTGTAAAAGGTACACTTTAAGGAGGGCAAATTGAATCCAGTACTTTTTCCAAGATACTTTCCAATTACACATGAAAGCCATGACAGGAACTGAGATAAGATTCTTTGTTTTTGAATCATCCATCTACTAAGAAACTTTCAATTCATTTTACTGAAGCTATAGAAAATATATCATTTAATAAAGATTAAAAATTACAACTTACTTTGAACTAGAATTGAGAAGTTTCTCATGAAGATTTTGGAATGGTATTTCTACTACATCCTAAAAATTCCAAAACTCCTAAATAGTGGACACTAATTACTGTGGAATAATTAAATCATGCTGTTAGATTTGCTAAAATATGGTAAAAAAAATATGAAAACTCAAAATAACAATGTACAATGTCTTCCAATGAATCATGAAAGATAATCTGTTATACGAGAGAGCACAGAAAAAAGTTACTTTTGAGAAAAAAATTTAAGTTTAGAGAGTTTGTGGTGGGTTTTTTTTTGGGAAAAATTTAATGAGATAATTTAATGAACACTGTTAGTCATCTTAAAAGAATTACTGTTAGCAATAAAAATCCAGCAAAGGCAGCCACATAGACTATTTTCATTGTCTAAAATGTGTTAACTATATACAGAATATAAATCCCTAGAATACAGTATTAAGTGGAAAATTGTTTTATATATTTGTATTTTAATAAAATAACAGCAATATCCTTCTTAAACATGCATTTTTCCACCTAACAGTATCCATTTAGTTAATATAAAATTTATTCAGGTAGAAACACCAAAACAAAGATACGACCAATACACTTGTGGAATACAATTAAGATATCTCTTCACATTAAACTGCAGGGACCATCTTTGTTTTTCAGATGCCTAGCACAGTGCCTGGCAGACAGCAGGTGATCAAAAGATGTTTAATGAATTACTAAGTACACTCTGTTTTGCACATACAGTCAAATTCCAGACAAGTTTGCAAAGTTACATAAGTTGGATATAGGCTTTCTGGCTGACTTCATGGGGGTCCCACTGATGACTAGGAGTAAATCTTCATAGCCATAGAAAACTGGAAGGTTGATAATTGTCTGGGTAAGGACCAAAAAAACAAAGTCAGGGAAACATGTCACCTATGTAGCACTTGTTCTATAGAGCTGGTAAAAGCGGCCTAATGATTCCAACAACCTACTGCACCAGTCAGTGAAACAAAATTTAAGTGCATCCTGAACAATTTTTACAAGTATATTTTTAACTGGAATGTGTTTGATCATTGCTTATTCATAATAAATCACTTTTGTCAAACTTTTTCTTGCATAAAGATTAGAAGGGAATATGTTTTACTTGTTCCTATGGGTACTATATTGTTAATAGCATTTAATTTGACCCTTAATTAGAAAAAATGAGAGCCACAGTAGAGATAAAGAAAAAAAATTCTCAAGAAAAAATGTTCATGGTAGTGAAAATTGTAGCAAGGGAGGACAAGAAAAGGACAGGAAAGGAATTCCACATATGCAAGTAAAGAAATTCCAATATGCCTAACTCTAAAACTAACATGGATTATGACAGGCTACCAGTAGGGCCTACTGTGTACCAGACATTGTGCCAAAAGTAGAAGGATGTGTTAACAAAACAAAAATGTTTGTTCTTAGGCAGTTCATAGGGCAAGATTCACAAGTAAACATTTAGAATAGAAGATGCATTCCATTTATTCTTGTAAATATAGGTCCTTAATACAACAGTAAGTATATTTACTAATTATAAGTGCAAGGGAAAATATGCAGTAGAGAAAGCTGAAATAGTTTCAAAATAGTAATAATCTACAATAAGTACCATTAATGCTTCTTTAAAAAATTAATTATTGAATGTAAGTAGACAAAATAATGGCTTTGAAGTTATTTATCTTAATATTCTTACGATAATATGCCCCATACGAAACCCTCAAATGCTATACCCAGAACTGTACATGACAGTTTCATTTCTGACAAAGGAAATGAGGTAGTGCAGCAGAGTGAGCATCAGGAGACCTGAGTTCTCTGGTCCCCACTCTGCCCACTTATAGGCCTTGGAACCTCAGGCAAGTTCAAGTTCTTGGAACTTCAGCAATATGTAGAATTGGATAAGGTGACCTCCAAGATATCACGTAGTTGAACAGTTACAATCTGAAGTATCAATAGTTCTTAATACTTAAAAGGGTTTTCTAAACATAAATCATTATCCAACTAAAAGTCTGGAATCTTCTAACCATAAAGTATCATGGGGGTGAGGGTGAGGGGTGTGATAAAAAATGTTTTTAAAAAATAAAATAAGTTAAGACATTAAACTCAAGACTAAATTTTTACTCAGCTACCTATAGAACAACTACCACCCCAGTTACCTACACAATTCGCTTTCTTAAAATTAATTTCGTCAAGTAAGTTCTACTGTCTGTCTCTTACCTTTAAGGTTGCTGAGGTTTTAAGGTGAGAACAAGAAATCTTACAAGGACTTGGAATGGCAGTATTGATGTTGGGAGAAAAACTTGAACTTGGCACAGATTGCTGCTTAAGTGCACCAATTACATCTCAGAGAAAGGTATAAAATTGTTCAAATTTATAACAGAAGGGAAATAAGACCATATTGTTTACTGCTACACAGCTTTTTTATTTCGGTATGTAAATGTCTACTTTTGCACACAGTTGATAATTAAAATTTTACAGAACAAGTTTCTACATATGCAATGCTTTACTGTCACTAAAATATGAGTATATTATATCTTGGCTTTAACCATCAAGAAAATAAAAAATTAGAAGTATTATCATGTCTTGATAATATTTATGCCAAATATCCTTCTAGTCCTTCTAGATTTATATTTCTTCAATCCTTTCTAGTTGATCAAATTGCTGTTTTCATATTGCCAGTCTGATCACAAAATTGCTGCTTTACAGAAGAATATTTTTTGCTGACATAAATTATGGGATCAGAAATATCAATGCTGTTACAAAAAAAGGGTGTGAGGGAGAGACAGCGAGAGGGAAGAGAGTGTGTGTATATGCATGTGTGCATCCATCTTCAAGGAAAGAATAAAGAAATGTATATATGAAACAAAATAACGCTTGCCAATATAAGCCCTAGGAAAAGGCCTACATCAGAAATATACTTTCTAGCATCTGTGAAATAAAACACAGCACTGAATTTTAAAGCTATGCACTAAGAACATACTACAGAAAAATGAATAGTGATTTTTATCAATATTGTTATTCCATAAACCTAAATATGGATATATCTTTCAATTTATAGCTAACTGCAGTTAATATACTAACTATAAGTTCATGATTTCTTTGGCTCATGAAAACATATTTTAGAAATTTGTCTCCTTTTACATACAGTGAGCAATTTGGTTCAGTACCCCAAGAGAAATTGAGATGAAAAACTCATCTCAATTTACAACAGTAAATAAATAATTCAGTTAAAACTGAAAGTGGTACCAATCCAGCAAACTATTGATGGAGAGGTCTGGCCTTCCATGCAGCCAGAACAACATAAAGTTTTCAATGGGGATTACTTGTTCAGAGAAGTTACAAAGATTACAAAAATACCCAGAGTAATTATAAAATAGCTAATATTCTCATCATATGGAAAATAAGTATCAGGAAGGTATGTGGGAACAGACAGTACCAGTAGCATTTAAACTTTAAGCATAATAGAGCTTTGGACTTTATATACTGATACATGAAACAGACATTTAACAAAAAAAGCAATAATGCAAGTCAAAACCTAACCAAAGGCCTCTACCAACTAAAAATTTGAAATTTTCCATGGAAGTCAGACAAAACGAAAAAAATGGAAAATGAAACCCCTACAGCAAAAACCAATCAAGTCTTCCAACACTAAGTCAATATCCAAATCTCATACAGGACCAAAAAGGGGAAAACACTCAGGTCTACAAATGGATAAGCAGTTCCAATACAATCCAGATCCCGACATTTTCCCACTCTTAAACAAATGCAGTGGAGCTTTTCCTGGGGAAAGAGAAAAGAGCTCTCCAATGAATTTTTTTTTAAGTGACATCTAGAAAGTGTGCCTCTTTCTGTCTCTTTCCCTGGCGCCTCATTGGAGGAAGGAGGGGGTTGTTTTTGTATTCTCCCCCATTGGAGCAAGACACAATCAGATGTTAGCTGGAGGAGAGAAACCACTTTTGACAACAGCAAATAAAAATAAAAGTGCCCTTCCTCCCCTGACAGGATGGGCACCCATCTCACACACCCCTCCCTACTCCAACCCCTCCTTCACTCCCCCCACCCCAGCACCACCCCCTCCTCACCCCGGAGCTCCACTGCGTATGTGGTTTGGTGCTACTGTTGCCCCGGAGTGAAAGTCAGAGCCAGAAGAAGGCAATGAAGCCCCCACAGACACACTTACCTTTCCTGCCCCCCACTTTTGAGTGCCTTCCCTGGAGCTGTGGAGGATGACACAAAGGGTAATAAAGGGGGGGAGTGGAGGAGGAGGAGGCGAAGGAGGAGGAGGAGAGCTGGGGAAGTGGCTGCTCCTGGGTGTAGTGAGATGTCTCCAGCCAGGGCCAAGCAGCAGCAGTAGCAGCAGCAGCAGTAGCAGCAGCAGCAGCAGCAACAGCAGCAGCAGCAGCAGCAGCAAAGGGTCTGTGTTGCTAAGAGGCTTTTGGTTTCTTTCTCTCCTCCTCTCACGGCCAAAGAGGAGGGTGGAGGGGGCTCGGGAGGGAGGCGAGTTGGAGGGGTGAGGGGGTAGGAGTCGTGGATGGGGATTTTCGAAGAAGAAGAAACTCCTTCTTCTCTCTCAGGCTCAATCCCCCTCTCAGGGCTCAGGGCTGGAGGGTGGGGGAAGGAACTCAGCCACCTTCCCCCCACCCCCCTCAATTCAAGGTTGAAGTGGGGTAGAATTAGTGTCCTGTCCCTTTAAAAATAGAAATAAAAGGTGCCCCCCCTCTGCCACTGCCTCTCTCTTCATCATCAGCTGCTGCTGCTGCTGGGGTCTCTCTGCTTGGGGGGAAGGGGGGGTTCGGGTAGAAGAGACGGGAGGCACTCACTGCGCATGTCCCTCTCTGACGGGTGGCTGGTTGGTTGAAGGCAGGAGGAGGGGGAGGGGAGGAAATGAGATTATTTTCCCAGAAGGCGCTGAGGCGAATGCGACCCGGAAGACATTGTAGAAGGGGGTACAGGGGCGGGGGCGGGGAGGAGGAGGAAGTCGCTACGCTTTTAACACCCCCAACTCCCTCCTCCTTTCTAAGGGAAAGTGGAGGAACGGAAGTGGGCGTGGACAGAGACGAAAGGAGGTCACGTGTTTGGGCGGGAGAGGGGCGGGGTGGGAGAGGTGGTGCGTGCGCGGGGCATGCCGGGAGTGGTTGTGTACCGTCAGCAACATCAGGTGAATCCCAGCAGAGGACGCGTCCAGGCGATCGGGTAAAGCGATTCCTGCAGGCGTTGGTTTCCCTCTTTGCCCTGGTAAAGGCAGGCTTTTATGCGAGAGTTAACGGTGGGGTAAACTTGCCACAAACGAAGGCCAAGGGCGTCGGAGGCGAAAGGTGAATCGAGAGGGGGAGGATGGAAGGCTGTGGAGATTGGGAATTGGGAAGGGGCCGGGCTTGTATAGGCCGGGAAGGCCAGGACCAAGCGAGCTCTGTCTCGTGGCCTCCCCTTGAGCTTGCGGACGAATCCTTCACACGTGCAGGGAGTCCTGAGACTAGCTCTGCGTCGGGGTGGTAGGTGAGGAGCGTCACGTTCCGGGTGTAAGAGAGCAGGGAATTGTGAAGCCGGCAGCTGACCCTCGTGACTGCAGAGCAGGGGACCTCTATCCGGGGACAGAGACAAGTCCTCTGTATGAATTTTGACCAGACGCATCAGTCGCGTTGCTTATATTAGATATTGCCTTACCTCTCAACCCTCCCTCGTATTCTGGAGTGGTTTTGGGGAAGGAGCAGGCAGGGAAGACTTGAGTGGAGCTTCCCTCCATCTCTTCCGTTGTTGCTGCAACGCAAAGCCTTTGCTTTTTCTCGAAGAGGGATGTGGGATTGTGTAGTCCTTAATGTTGAGTTTTACGATTGATGAATAGAAGGGGCGTGTTCAAAGTTTCCCCTTATACTGTAAATGAGAGTTTTTTAAAAGGACTGTTTCGTCTTAAGTTTCTTTGGTTACTATCCTTAGCTTTTGAGCCTTTGCTTTGCCAAATGCTAGCTGTTTTTGCTGCAAATAATGAGATTCTATCATAAAATTAGAATTAACTCAAAATATTTAACAATGGATTTATAAATTTACGTTAGTAAGGCTTTTATAGTAAAATAGTACTGGTTCTTTTTCACATCGTTTTCATACGATCTTAATGTAAATCATTACAGTCTCAGTTGTTTTGTAAAGGTATTCTGAAGGAATATCATTGTACTTTAAAACAAAGAATCTAAAATTCTTCATGTTTATTATGTTGGTATTTAATTCTGTGGTGTAGGCTCTTTAGGGGTACACTATCAGTTAAAGGTACTAATTTTCCACGTTTTACTTTCCGTAAGTTTTGGCAGTGGACTCAATTTATGCATCCTTGCTTAACGCTTACTAGCTTCTGTGTTGTGTACCGAAATCATGTCTGATGGTATCAAAATTAGACTCCTGTGCTTTAAAATTTTCCTTATAGTGTAACCTAATGTCTGCCACTTTATAATTAAAAAAAAAAATACAGCAAGGCAATTAATGTGTCTTAGATACAATTTTAAATCTTTTGTATGTTTTTCTGTATATTTAGTATTTAAGCATACAAACATCAATACATAGTATAAGGAATATAAAGTGAATTCCTTGTAACCACTACCACAGTCAAGAACCTGAGAAGCTCCCCTCGCCGTCTATTCCTGATGTCATCTCCTTCCTCAATTCTTTCAGAGGTTAACACCTTACTGATTTTCTTTTCTTTCTTTCTTTCTTTTTTTTTTTTTTGAGACGGAGTTTCACTCTTGTTGCCTAGGCTGGAGTGCAACGGTGCGATCTTAGGTCACCGCAACCTCTGCCTTCCTGTTCAAGCGATTCTCCTCACTCAGCTACCCGAGTAGCAGGGATCGCAGGCACGCGCCACCACGCCCGGCTAATTTTGTATTTTTATTAGAGACGGTGTTTCTCCATGTTGGTTAGGCTGGTCTTGAACTCCCAATCTCAGGTGATCCGCCTGCCTCGGCCTCCCAAAGTGCTGGGATTACAGGCGTGAGGCATCGTGCCTGGTCCAGTATCCTGATTTTAATGGCAATTATTTACTGCTTTCTTTGTTAGTATTTCTTAACCACCTATGTCAGCATTCCTAAGCAGTATAGATTCATTTAGCTTGTTTTTTAATTGTATGTAAGTGGATTATATATTACGTATTATTATGTATCTTTTTCTCTTATGCATCTAAGATTTAAATAGTACATTTAGTTATTCTATTGCAATATAGTAATATCTATAGTATAGTTCCTATATTGCAATATAGTAATATCTATAGTATAGTAAGTATAGTATAAAAGTCTTAATAGAAATGAGCCACAGTTTAACTAGTTTAATATTAATAAACATTTGGATTGTGTTCCATTTTTGGCAATTATGAATAATGCTATTATGAATGTTCTTGTACATGTATTCTTATGTACATTATCATGTATTTTTGTAGAGTATATATGTTTATCTTCAACTTCAATAGTATGCTTTTTCCAAAGCAGATGCACTAGTGTATACTCCAACAGCAGTATATGGTAGATCCCTTTATTTTTATTGTCTCACCAAGAGTTATTTTTCATTTTTCCCAACTTGATGAATGTGGCTTTATCTTACTGTTGTTTTAATTTACCCTGCCCAGGATACTAAAGAGTTTGAGCGTTTTTTGAAAAACTTACCAGCTATTTGGATTTTCTCTTTCTAGAATTGTCTTTTTAATTTTTACATCTTTTGTGCATTGTCTTTTTAAATCTTTGGTGGGGTTATTTTTAAATATTCTGTCTGTGCTATTCAGCATAGTAGCTACTAGCTGCGTATGTCTTTTGAGCACTTGAAATGTGGCTAATGTGACTCAGGAACTGAATTTTTACTTTTATTTAGTATTCAGTGAAGTTTAAAAACTGACACTTGATTCGGTTATTGTAAAACCTGTATATTTGGAACAACTGAGACACATAAACGTTTCTTAACCACAAATTATTTTTACTTTTGGAGATTTTTTTTTTCTTCTTGGAGATGGAGTCTCACTCTGTCACCCAGGCTGGATTACAATAGCATGCTCTCCACTCACTGCAACTTCCACCGCCCGAGTTCAAATGATTCTTTTGCCTCAGCCTGCCAAGTAACTGGGATTTCAGGCATGTGCCACCACACCTGGCTAATGTTTTTATTTTTAGCAGAGGTGAAGTTTCACCATTTTGATTAGGCTGATCTTGAACTCCTGACCTCAAGTGATCCACTTGCCTTGGCCTCCCAAAGTGCTGGGATTACAGGAATGAGCCACTGCACCCAGCATTAGCTGTAAATTATATAAAAATGTAGATCCAGTATTTTTATGGCAGTTTTAATTGAGCATCTACATTGTGATATTCTACAAACACCAGATTTCAAAGACAGTATGAAAACAATGTAAAATACCTCAGTTTTTTATTATGATTACATGTTGAAATTATTATTAATTTCACCTTGTTTTACTTTTAGTGTCAACAATAGAAAATTTTAAATTACTTATGTCACTTTTACTGTATTTCTGCTGGACAGTACTTTTAGCTAGATGTTCCTGTTTGTTTACCACTTCTTAATTTCTTCCTGCATCTCTGACTTTTCTTTTGGCATCTTTTAACTTTTGCTTTAGCACACTCGGTAGAAGTTTTATAATGCAGAAACATTCTGATACTCTTAAGTTTTTTGCTTTGTCTTAATTTTTTGTTTTGCCTTTAATCTTGTAAAATGTTTTGGGGGTATTCTAGATATATGGTTATTTGTTTTACTTAAACCTTGAAGATAATATCCCACTGCTTTTGGCTTTCATTACTGATTTTGAGAAATCAGCTGTCAGTCTACTAGGTTGGTGCAAAAGGAATTGTGGTTTTGGACCATGAATTTTAAATCATTATAACTAGGGTCAAATGTGTCTTTATTAATCAGAGTAGGAATCATTACAATCAACACATTTTTGCCAATGAGAAATAAGTTTGTTTATTCCTATAATGTAAGAATCCTTGCTTCAGGATTTCACAAACTCTCGGAAAGCAGTTTCTTACATCCTGCTGGTTGCAGAAGCATTTTCCCTGCAAAAAGTTATAGAGATCCTTGAAGAAGTAGTAGTCAGTTGATGAGAAGTCAGTTGAATATGGCGGATGAGGCAAAATTTTGTGGCCCAATTCATTCAACTTTTGAAGTGTTGGTTGTGCAATGTGCAGTTTGGGCATTATTGTGGAGAAGAATTGAGACCTTTCTGTTGACTCATCCTGGCTGCAGGCATACAGTTTTAAGTGTATTTCATCAATTTGCTGAGGATACTTCTCAGATATAATGGTTTCTCCAGGATTTAGAAAGCTGTAATGGATCATACCACCAGACAGTGACCATGACTTTTTTTGGTTCAAGTTTGGCTTTGTGAAATGCTTTGGAGCTTCTTCTCTGTACAACCATTGAGCTGGTCATTGCCGGTTGTCATATAAAATCTATGTTTTGTCACACCTCACAGTCTGATTGAGAAATGGTTCATTGCTGTGAAGAATAAGAGAAGACAACACTTCAAAACAGCAGTTTTTACAATTTTTGCTCAGCTCATGAGGCACCCCCTTACCAAGCTTTTTCACCTTTCCAGTTTGTTTCAAATGCTGAACAGATGTAGAATGGTTGACATTGAGATCTTAGGCTGAGTTCTTCAGCAACTTCTTGTGTAGTTGTAAGAGGATCAAACTTCAACAATTGTTCTCAGTAGGTTGTTGTCAACTTCCAAAGGCCAGCCACTACACTCCTCATCCTCAAGGATCTCATATCCTTTGTCAAACTTCTTGAACCACCACTGCACTGTATGTTCGTTAGCAGGTCCTGGGCCAAATGCATTGTTGTTATTGCTAGTTGTCTCTGCTGCTTCACGACCCATTTTGAACTTGAATAAGAAAATTGCTTGAATTTGCTTTTTGTGTAACCTCATTTCCATAGTCTAAAATGAATATAAATATAAATAGCAAATAAGTCATTAGCAAAAAAAAAAGCAAGAAATGCCCATTAAAATGATATATAACATAACCACATTTATTTAAGAATGTATTCCAGTATCAAATGGCAAATTCCAACAATGCAAAAACCACAATTAATTTTTTACCAACCTAATAATTCTTACTGCTTTGAAGGAAATCTGTCTTTTAGAATTTTGGGCGGGAGAGGGTAATAATTTTTCTGTTGTTTCACTCTGATGTTTTTGTGTAGAATTCTTTCTTTTCTTTTCTTTTCTTTCTTTTCTTTTTTCTTTTCTTTTCTTTCTTTTCTTCTTTTCTTTTGTTTTGTTTTGTTTTCTTTTCTTTTCTTGAGATGGAGTCTCACTCTGTCGCCCAGGCTGGAG